GTACTCAGACAGACTGTTGTGAAGCTCGGCGATGCTGGGGCCGCCTTCAGAGATGTCTTCAGACGCAACGTTGAAGCCACTGTCGATGCGGAGGTTCAACAACTGATGCATCTCCTGCATGCGTGCGACGAGCGCATAGTATATGTCCTCGTAGTCGGCGAGAGGGCGGTCGGTGGCCTCTTCGTCCGCACGCTCGTAGATGCGTCCGTGAATGCGCTCGGCAGTGAGAAAGCCATGAGGCAACAGGCTTGGGCCGACCTGCTTCTTCTGCAGGCGGTCGAACAGAGTGCTGAGACTGGGGCTGTAGATGTCGAGTTCGGGCTTGCCAAAGAGGTTGCAGGTCCCCGCAAGGTTGATGAGGTAGTTACTGAGCTTGAGGATGTGCTCGACGATGTAGTCGGTCGGGTAGGCTGTGGTTGCAGCTTGAACAGCCATCTGGCTGACCGCCACTGCGAAACCTGGGAGGAGAGTCTTTGGAGACATCTCAGGGGGTATCTTGGGTTGTGAAATGTAAAGTAAGAAGGTATGAGATGATCAAGGCGAGCTTGTTGGGGACGAGTTGGAAATGGATAATCGTGTAAAGAGCTGAAGAGTTTGCAGTCCAAAGTACTCTCAGTATGCGATTAATATTAGCGAAAAGGTTGTGGGCTTGAAAAGCTGGAATTGAGGGGGCTGGGAGACGATTTGGTGAAGTGAAGGTGAAGGGACACCCGGAAGTGAGATATCCCGCCTCCCTCACTCTGCTGGTATTGTTCGTGCAGGACAGCTGAACAATAGACTTGAGCTTATTAAGGCGACACGGGGACGGCTCTGAAGGCTGCGACCGTGGAAACAAGGGTGCAGTGTTGCTTGTTGCTGGAGAGACGACCATTTCGTGCGCGCGACGTCATTGATGGCGGCGAAACGCTCCGTAGCAAGAGACGAATCGCACCACTTAGTACCATTGGTAGAAAAAAGATCATCTATTCCGTCTCATGAGCATCCTACTTGCCTTGGTCGGACGATGTTGTTGCCTGGAGGTGTGGGTGACCTAGATAATGATACTGGCGTCCCATCCAGGCATGCGCTGACTCACCCCCTCATCTGGTCATTTTTCAGGCTTTCAGGCTCTGTACCAATGTCCTCGCGTCGAGGTTCCTTAGCCGGCGAGGCAGTTCATCTTGGATCCAATCCCGTCCGAAAAAGGCACCGCCAGCAAGTGCTCCTGCAGTAGCCAGCCAGAGGATAGTTTTGGTAGTACCCGGTCGAAATTCTTCGCCCGTCTTTTCGTTCCGATAAAAGAAGTCACCCTTCTTCCAAAAGATGCTTCTGAGCCAATAGAGGAATTGCCAGTCAGGGTACATCACTGACAGCGTTAGCGCACGGACTCACACCAACGTCCACCCTCCCCACTTACTATTATTAAGACCTGTCTTCGGATCTACAGCCCAATTTACACAACCTGAGTTCCAGACCAGCTTGCTTGCTGCTTTTTGTGTCCATTGCGAGTCCGCGACCGCAGCCTCCGGCTTGACCTCTACGGTCGCCGGTGGTGGTGAAAGCATGTGAGGAATGAATGATTGCGACCGATATGATGGCAGTGACTTGAAGATGGGCTCTAGCAGCCGGAGAGTGAAGTTGATCTGGCACTCGACAGTGTAGATGACACTGAGATGGCCGGTGACGGTATTTGGCCCCATAAGGATGAAGAAGTTCGGGAATTGCGGGACCACCGTACCGAAGTAAGCTTGCGCGACGCCTTGTGAGGTTTTATCCCACTACGATATGCATCAGTATATAGGTCTCATGCGGCAATTTGTGGTAAACTCACGTATTCGTTCAGTCGCAGTCCGTCACGCCCAGCAATCTCCATCGGACAAAGCATCTGCTGTGTTGCAAAGCCGGTGGCAAGCACGATGGCATCTGCCTTCACCTCGCGACCGCTCTTTGTTACCACGCCATCATCGGTGATTCTTTCCACTGGATCGTCGGCAACCAGCTCAATGTTATCTCTCCATAGGGTCTTCAGATAGTCTGTGTCCAACACCTTCCGCTTGCACCCGATTTCGGTCTTTGGAATGAGCGCGCTCCAATACTTCGGCGGCGCCATGCTCTTTACGTATGCTTCATTCTCCTTGGCCAGGTTTTGGCGGATGCTGCGCCCGGTCTCAATGTCAAAACCACTCCAGTCGCGCTCCATGTCGTAGTAGAATTTCGCACGGTAGAGGCGCATTGCTAGTGGTACGTAGCGCATCACGGCTTTGAAGGTATTCGAATAGTACGGATTCTGGCGCTCTGCAAGGTATTGCGCTTGTCGTCCGAACTGTGTGAGTTTACGCACGGGGTTGGGCTCGTTGGCCATGATAGGAACAAATTGAGTTGCTGAGCAGCCATTGCCTGGGGCTTTGTAAGCACATAACTGACGAGCCAATATACATAGACATACCAAGTACAACGACATCTTTGTCCTTCCAATCGAAACTGTGGTCCCACTGCGCAGAATGAAACAGTTTGCCCTGGTACGTCTCCACTCCGGGAAGATCGCACTGCTTAGGCACTGAGAGTGAGCCCACACCCGAGACAAGTATCTTCGCTCGACGCGTCGTCCGTTCTTTGGTGTGAAGGTTCAAGATAGATACCTCCCAGACGTTGTCGAGATCGTTCCAAGCTGCTTTCTCCACTATGGAATGGAAGCGGACGTGATCCACGATCTTGTACTGCTCGGCCACAGAGCGGAAGTAGGCCTGAATCTCAGGACGCATGGAGTATTTTCTCGACCAATCTGGGTTCAGCGCGAAGCTGTAGGAGTAGAAGTGTGAGGCAACCTAGTCAGCTTAGCATAATTTTCGGCACCGATAGCTGTTTGGACGCGGAACAACTTACATCGCATCCACAGCCTGGATATGTGTTTGCCAACCAAGTGCCACCGACATCGTCGCTCTTCTCAATGAGCTCAAAGTTACGAAGACCGTACTTGCGTATGATTTGGACAGCGAGGCCCAGGCCGCTCATGCCCGCACCTATGATGAGAACCTCCGTATCGAAAGACATTATGAAGTAGCTTTAAATAATTCGAAGATACAACAGGATATGATGAGGGGAGTCCAGAATCGCGACCAGCATCGGATAGAGCAATAGGGATACTTATACCTTTGACTTTACGCCATCTCCTCCGCTGATCCACTGATCCACACCCCAGAACGATCAGATCCCCATCGGTGGAGCCTGCGTCTCCCGTTCAACCTCATCATATCCGGAGTATGGGTGCCGTCTAACCTCTTCGTGCCTGTGTTCGCGCGTTGACGTTGAGATATGGTCGTTGTTTGGGCAGGTCTGCCGAGTAGAAAGAAGGAAGTTTGCCGACAGCCAATGACAGACCTCGGCTGTTGCGGGGACCCCACACTTCGCACACGCGTGTATGCTTCTCGTCACGATCCGGATCTTTCGCTTTTGGCATCCCGACGTCTGCCTCTTCGATTGCGCGTACGATTATTAACATCGCTTCGGAATGCTCGTGGTGTTCAACGTTGGATGTCGCGGGTAGCTGACGTCATCGCTTCGTCGCGGCGTTTTGCGATTATAATGCGCATCTCACTCACAAAACGAACGCCAACCTCCTCGCCTGCAATGTTGAGGAGTACAACCTGGCAGAGAATGAACTTGTGGGATTCGTGCTTTTTCTAAGCCCGAGAATAGGTGACAGCGAGCTGTCAACTGCGCGAGGCTCGCAATGGGCTTACCAGCAAGTCTCGCACGCGACATATCGCCGCCGCGGCCTTCAAAGCGACGAAGAACGTCTGAGGCAGATATCAGAAGCCTGAATTCAAAACCGAATGTGCACTCATATGCAACGCCAACTGTCGCAAAGGCTTTACCCGCGCTAGCAGCAGTAGAAGCCGGCAAGGTCAAGATTGACGATCACCTTTCTTACTTCAGAAACCACCTGGTGAAAAGCTCTAGAAACACAGCACTTGACGTACCAAGACTCTCAATCGATGATTTCGCCACCCTGTACCAGTCTAACGCCAACCCTTATGGTCACCACTTTGTCGTTCATCAACACAACCACCCGATTGCAGGTGTACATTATGACCTCCGTCTCCAATTCTCAGAAACGAGCTCGATGTCCTTCGCCCTTCCAAAAGGACTTCCTGGCGACCCCAACTCGCGGAGCATAGGCAGAATGGCGATCGAGACTAGAGTACACAACTACTGGAACCACTTGATCGAGAGTGCCAGCAGAAAGACTGGAAGCCTGATCATATGGGATACCGGAACTTATAGTATCTTGCCCAGGAGGAAGAGAAAGAACGGGATGCCAAGTCCACAGACTACGGATGATGACGAAACAGAAGACGATGAAGCGGCAAATGAGGGAAGCGAAGTTGCAGGCGGACAATGCCAGGAGAGCTCAAAGTTGGTAGCAGCTTTCAAGACTCGATACATCCGCCTACGTCTACACGGTATACGACTGCCACACAACTACACAGTCATATTGCGTCTCCCATCAAATGAGATATCCAGACAGCCGACAGCGAGACGAAAGGGAAGGCGGAGGAGATCTCAGCGTAGCTCTGCAACACGAACCCCCGTGACCTCAAGTGACGAAGCTAGTGTCGCGGACGCATACGTACACGAGGAAGTAGCGGATCAAGATCTCGACACCGACACAGAAGAGGATGATCAAACACGTACCACCAATGCATATCCGGGCTCGACGAACGATATTGGGTCGGTACATCAACGGCGGTGGTTTCTCCAACTCGATCGGCAGAGTAGCGGGTTTAGTCCGGATGCTTCCGGCAGGGGAAGGGGGAAATGGACTGGAGGCTTCAACTCGTTCCTTGTACGCGGTCGAGACCATGAGCGAAGCGTTGTTACCGGAAGGTTAGCACGAGATGTTGAAAGCGACGAAGGGGTTGAGGGTTTTGTAGGAAGGAGAGGTTGGACAGAAATCGAGCATTAGACATAATATACATTATACCGGACCTTGAAGAAGACACCTGTAATTATCCGGGGTATCAGAACGTAGTCACCACCTCCATATTTCCCTCGACGCCCCTCATCTCCAAAGCTCCACGCTTCGACTTCTTCGCTCCGCAGGTGTACACCATGTCGAAATACCACCGATGGGCTTCGACATCCATGATTAGCCATGCCTGGTTTCCCTGGAAAAGATTGGCAGCACCAGCGAAGGTCTGGATGTCGCCAGCCGATACCGGCTGTCTACTCGGCTTGTTGATGTAGTACTCAGGACTGATGTGAACATATCCCATGGTCAACAACGGCATCTTAGGAACGGGATCGTTCCAGTGCGTGACGCGGAAGTTGCCACCACGCTGGTTGCTGATGTAGGAGCTAATCTTACTTCCTCCTATCCTTGGTGATCCGAAGTTGTACAACGCGACATTGTAGCCAGCAGTGCGCATACTGGCGGCGGCGAGTGTAGCGACGGCGCCTCCCAGACTGTGGCCTGTTACGGTGATCCTGTAGCTAGGGAAGGCGGTTATTGCTTGTTGCACGGCGGGTAAGACACTATCGCGCGCATCAAGCCAGGACTGCCAAAAGCCGCGGTGAGCAGTGCAGCCTGGGCAGATATCTGTTGTAGTGGTGCCGAAGTCGAGGTTCGTACGCCAGTCTTCGATGGTGTGAGTACCGCGGAAGGAGACAACTACGAGTTTATTCGTATGATCGACTGCGACAAAGCCCGTCACATCGGTCATCGCATTCTCTCTGTATACTGTTAGCTTCCGGATCGTTCATGGCCATTCAACCAGCTGAAACTTGACGTCTGCGGGGCCTGGGATTAGACTCACCGGCTGTACTCGATGACGGTGGTAGAGTCTGCGTCTTGAACGAGCGGACAGTTTCCAGTGGAGCACTCAATCTGATCTCCGGTTGAGTCATAGTTGTTTGAGCAATATGCTGCCGACGCATACTGCTCCATCAACTTGAAGTTGCCCAGAAGGTTTGGCGCGATACCTGTCACCCATCAGTTACGCGACGACAGAGATGTCGCACTATCAACATACCTCGCTCCTGGATGAGTGGCGCAGCATTGCTGCCGATGGCGCCTAGCAGCACAGCAACAAAGAAAGAAGAGAAAGTAAGCATGTTGAAAATGAGTGACTGTTGGAAAAGAATGACTTGGGAGGAGGACTGCAGAACCGTCTCGCGACAATCTCAATCAAGCGAATCTCTACCTACATATAGGAACGGCAGAACCGACTCGTTCTCATCGTTCGTAGTGTACCGCGGACGCCATCGTTTGCTTCATCACACGCGATCCAAGTCTGGACTTCCTAATGCGGAGGACTAAGCAGCCACGCTACCTACCGCCCATTCCGTAGTTCTCTGTGAATACCCAGGACGATGAAACCATTGGGACGCGTCTATATCCACATGCTTGCTTGTGGTTGAGCTTGTCACCTTAGGCAGGACGTTCTGCGATGCCATTGGCTAAGCCAAGGACGGGAAGCGTGGGGCGGCGCGTCCGCCGCGGCACGACTTGCACTTTGACTTTGACGTTGACCAGACGGTTGTTTGGATAAGATTGGTTGTCGAAGCCTCGTCACTAGTGCGCGGCGCGTCCTTTTGGTGATGGGAAGAACAGATCCGAAGACACCAGTCCGGGAAAGGAGGTGGGGGAGTCTGTGCGTAAGCTAGACGCGCCACTAGCGCGTGGCGCAACGAGGCGGGCACATCTAGGGAAGTTGAGTGAAACGATAGCATACTCTTTACTCCTCGTTCTACTGTCATGCCATCACATTCAAGTGATTCTAGATTGCGAATCCCACCAGTTCTTCCGAGCAGCGAGTAGTCACAGCTTGGCAGCTACGGCATTCGCGACGCGTCTCAAAGGAGATCGCAATCACAGTTGTTACGCCGTTGAAGGCTATTCCAGGCCATTCCACGTGCAACAGGTGTTGACTGCACTTGCGCGTGCTTGTTTTGCAGCAAACAAAGGACTGAACATATATGGCTCTGGGGGTTATTGATACAGATTTCTTGCTACACTTCATTCCCCCGCTTAATCTCCGATCGAGACTTACGACAGGACCCAACGGAGAGCCCTCAGTTCCTACAAACCGACTACCAATGCGCGATTTAATCAAGGTCGACGCGGAAATGCTCATCGCTTTCCTGGCAGCAGTAATATTCTTCTGCTTCTTCGTGTCTGTCCTCATCCTATACGTTGGCCTTATCGCAGTCTTCTTGGGCTTGCGACATCAATCTTGGTACATGCAGGAAGAAATGAAACGTCTTCTGGCTCTTGCTGTTGACCTTCAGGGCCGGATTAATCGTATGGAACGCTATTTAGAGATAGACTTTCACGTACGGCAGGCGCGCAACCTAGGCCGATATCCAACATTCTAGGCTATGGGATCTGGTCTGGAGAGATGCCTCAAGAAGAGTTACATGCACAAGCAGGCTTTCGATTACAATCATCAAGAGTTATGCAACGTTTCGAGTTCATGTAGATCGGATTGTGGAAGCTCCGTGTCTCTGGTGTCTCAACACAGCTGTCTTTGATAGCAATTTAGGAAATTAGATCGGCCAGGCTTAGGGGCATGTATTTGAAGTGTCTGAGACAAATGTGAGTCTTGTCTGGCAGCCGTGACAGTGTTTGGTACAAAAATGCTATACTCACCGTTATCATCTCTATCTTTCACAGCAGTATTATCGCATTCTCATTAACAGGCGTCTCCTTCAAACTTCATCACCAACTGTTCTCCTCGCTTCGACCAGCATGAGCAACATACTAGCTTACTTCCAGCTGGGACCTCCGTCGGGATGGACAGAGTCAGTTGTTCTGCACGCAGTGCGTATCCCATTTGCCATCGCTATTCTCTGTCTCAGCGCCTGGCTGTACCCGTCCCTTCCAGAAAACGTCCTGTTCTTCTCGATGGGCTTGGTATGTCTCGATATTCAATTCCATATACACAGCTAACCCTGCCACGAGGCTACCTTCACAATGACAGTCTGCATCGGCTCCATCACATTCCGATTCGTGTATCCGAGTACATACAGCATAAGAGTCGATCTTGCGATTCACGTCTTAATGGGCGTACTCTGGTTAGTCGACCTTCTTCTCATGTGCTTTCTGGGTTGGTACCGACAAGCCGACAAAGAGTATCTATTCAAACTATGGGTGGCGAAACTTGTCATGGGGACAGCCGAGTGGTAAGTACAACTTTTCATGCATACGTTGCTGCGCTGACATCTTACAGTGCTCTTTGGTTCTTTGAAGCGCTCGTTCTCGCTAGAGACTTGATGACGCCCTCATCTGACAACGAGCCCATACAACTCCCACCACTGCCAGCAGCCAGCAACTATGATTGGCCAACATCGCCGCAACAAATCGACCCATGGTCACCAGTCTCGCCTCTCGAACCTCCTCGGTCGGGGCCGCAGCCTTTGCTTCCCGAAAGCCACAATAGATACGACGATGATGCGCAGGAGTTACCGGATCCTTTCGATTTCGGCTTTTCTCGAGAAGCTTCTAGCGATAGCTCAGGTCAGCATGTAACGGATCTGAGTCCTCCGCAAGCTCCCAGTTCCGCCTGCAGTCATGGTAGAAGGGGTGCGGTTAGTCATCTTGATCCAGTGGGTTCACGGTGTCTTTCACCCAAGAAGCAGCCTATTAGGAAGTAAGAGGGTCGTTGAGATAGGCATCAAGAAGTTGCGCGAGAAGATCGATAGGGACACAGCGGCTCAACACACGGAGAAGATTAAAATGAATTTTATGCAGCTAAGGTGCATGTAAGCATCCCTCTTCCTAGCGACGCGTCTAATCATTCTTTCTCATTCCGTTCAAAACCCTATGACAACCTCACCTACACCCGCACAGCCTCACCACCCATCTTACCTATCATTCCTCCATCTATCTAGTATGACCAAAAAATTGAACTCGGTCTGATTCGAACAGACGTCTCTCGCAGTCGCAGAACCACTATCACGCTGTTACCAGCGGATGTGTCCAGCACCAACCTCTTCACTACGTCGTTACCGTCGAGTAAGAGTGCTCTCATCCACCCATTAGACGGTACCACAGTTACCTGCGGCCACCGCCTCAGTCAAGGTGCACCTTGCTGAGCTGGAATCACAGATATGATGCGAGCGCCTTACCGCTGGGCCACGAGTTCTGGTTATATTCTAGATGAGAGGGCGAGGAATTTCGGTGTACGTGTAGTGATAGAAGAGCGAGGGTGGGAGCAGGTAAGAGAAGTAGAAATAGTAGTAAAAGCCTTGTATTCTTTCGGAGTGGTACCGATACCTGGTATACTGAACATCAAGATCCCATATATGATACTGCGAAGGTAACAGACGCCAATGCCGTCGTCTACATATGATCTCTGGTAAACAGCATCATTCCAATCCAATCGTAACAAACATCATATTTCCATACAAGTCGGCAATCTACTCTCTGGCCGCCTCGACTCCGGCCTGCCATACGTCCTCAAGAAGTGTCCTCTGGGGAAGCAATCCTCAACCCTCTCCATACTACATCTAACCAGACTCCTAACCACATGCCCTCTGCTCACATGCCCTCTACCCACCCTCACCGTCTGAACATTCGACTTGACCCACAGCACCGGAAGCGCAACAGCAACACTGGCCTGAAGCGATTCCTCATCCGTAGCGAAACTGGGTGCGATGCTTGTCCGGAAACTTGTATGCGAGCTAGCCTTGCTCTTGCGCCAATGGTATCCGCGTCCATTTCCACCCGAGACGTAGAATTCGTCGTCGTCAGAGTCGTCGCTGCATTGCGAAGTCAATTTCTTCGCTTTCCACCTCAAGTTCTGCGGTTCCTCAACGAGACTCTCTTCGCCGGTGAAGTTGGTGCAGAGTTTCTTGAGCGAAGGGAGGTTGACTGCGACAATCGCGAATTGCGTCTCCAGGGCGGCGATTATGATCATTTTGCCGAGAACCCAGGATGTGTCGATGGGTTCGTCAGATTGAGATCCCAATTCGAGGAGTGGAATGAGGCGGAAGGTGGCGATGATGACGGAGATGCTGCCGAAGGTGAGGACGCTGAGGACGGCGATCTTTTTGCGGAAGCTGATTTGACAGTTCCAAAGCATGGCGATGGGGAGAAGGAGGATGTACATGTCTAGGCCGATGTTCTGTTGGGTATTAAGGTTAGTGGGGTGGTCTGCGGGGTGATGTACTATGGTTCATGCTTACCAAAAGACATGGCACCAGGAGGACGATGAGTTTGTTCATGCAGTAGGCATCGGGATGGGTGCCAGGGTGTAGGATCTCATCAAAGGGCATGCATTGGATGCAAGCTAGAAGCCTAGTCTCAGATGTCAGTTCCATGGTATTGAGAGTGAGGAAGAATGAGGACATACATGTTGCATCCCCACACGATTGTGTTAAGACCAAGGCCAGCGTAGACAGCATAGCTAAACTCGGCACTCTCCCGCGCAAGCCGGAGGTAAAAGAAGAGAAAGGCGGATTTCATAACCCAATGTACGGAGTAGTAGACTATCTCCTCGACAAAGAGCCACTGAGGTGTTTGGTCAGTAAAGATGTCCTCGCTAGTATGTCTCTTGCTTTGGTGCATACCTTGACAATTTCCAGTTGTTGGAAGGTATTAAGAGCGTCCATATGTCTGCGCAAAACGGTTAGTCCTGTCTTCTCCACATAAGGTAACTATTCGGTACTTACAGCCCGCATCCCCAGTAGAGGAACATGTGCAAGACACCCTGCTGAGCGACACTGAAGATGAAAACCACCACAGCGAAGTAGTCATCCCGTCTCCATTTCCTCAGACTCTCATCGACGTAACGACTGTAAAACCTCAGAAAGGTCGAGGTGGTGCCCAGAAAGAAGGTAACGTAGGCCACGGCATAAGCCAGCGGTTGAAGATTAGTAGCCAGCGCCATAGTCGAAAGAAACTGGCGACGTGAATCAATCACGGAAAGGAGTGGAAGTTGGGCAGCTCAGCTCACACAGCATCAACCATCTCAGTAATGCATGGCTGTCGTATGTATCTTAAACACCTTGCCTCGCATCACTCATGCTCTGCTTTTTCCCTGCATATACGTCGAAACTGGCCTGCCGTCTAGCCTCCCCGCCGGGTGTCATCGTTAGGAGTACATTCTCACGGACGTGTCACTGTCAGGGTGAGTTCACGACACAAGTCGTAGTTGACTTTGGTCGACATAAGCAAGACGGCTGTTTCGGTGTGGCTGTTGGGCGAGTACCGAATTCGAGGCGTCAGTAGTGCTTGCTTTTGCGCTCGAGAAGACCCGTAGACTGTACTACCGCGCCGCATACGTGAGATGCGGAGCTCCGACCCACACTCCACGTTTTTCGCCTCGCCGTCGTGATCGCCGAAAGCTTGAGGCTCAATGTCCGATCCGATCAAACCTGTATACAGATAGCGAGCTGTTCGTATTTCTCAGAGAGACGTTGCGACGTGTTGATCGGCTATAATGTCTTCAATACTTTGAACCAGTCTTTCCATCTGGGCACGGGATGAACCGAATGTATGTGTAGCTATTCCTGTCAAAAGTCAATCAAAGGAGGCCTCTGATCTCTCGTCCATGGCCTTTGCCAAGATGCTCTATTGCTTATGCCAGATCTTGTAACGATTATGCACTTGGGACTAGAGATGCTGAGCCGAACAAGCAACACAAGATCAGCAACGTGCGCTATGCAGAAACAGCCGCCATGCCCACTTTTCCTTCCGAAACACCAATGGGCAGGTGTTTTAGCTCCGATCCCCTAAACTCCGAAGCTCTTTTGGGTTGAGATGGAGACAATCGTCTTCCCAAATAGCTAAAACAGAAAACAAAATAGTCGTGATTGGTGCGCGAAAGCATAGCGTTGCTGGCTGCCGCCGCTAGAGCTTCTTCTGGAAACCGCTAGACTGAGTTGGTCTGCTGGGGAAGCTATATGGAGTTGATGCGTCCGCTATGTGAAGCTGCCCAAAGCATACTCACAGTCGTGGGTTCGACCATGCGAAACAATGTTCAGACGCATATATCATCGGATGCCGATACCGACATAGGGCTCCTGGGAAGCTGTGCTGAAGTCCATGCACACCACCGACGTCGCATGCATCTTTATCCGGTTCTATCCCACACCGAACAACGAGCGAGTTATACTGCAGGTCCTGCACAGCCAGAGGAATGACGCGACAGAAGCTTCTGCCATAGCGAGCGACATCACCACCAGTCCAGACGGCGAGCCAGGGTACAGAACGTGCCGCAAATGACATAGACAACGTCTACTACTACCTCAGGCAGCTGAAGCAGAGAAAATGACAATGGAGGATTGTAAGAAATCGAAGTCGACCTTCTCAATAGGGAGGAGGCTTGACATTTTTGCGGGAGCATACTGACCGGTCACGCGTATGCCGACCTTGTGCGCTATGTGAGAGATCAGGAACAACGCCGCTGTTTAGGACGCACTTCGAGAACTGTCGTACAGTGACGAGAACGTGTACTCTGGCCACTTGGCTGTGCGACTGGGGCGTGTCTCAAGTACGAGAGACAGATTAGCGTTCAACGGTCGGTTGATCCTCCGCTCGTATTCTCCGGATCTTGTGAGCGTAGATCGCCTCACCCGCGTCGTTCGGCGTGGGCGCGCATTGCGGGGAGCCTCTTGCGTCGAGGTATATAGCACACCACCACAGCGGGGGAGGCGGATAGCGTGCAGACGCAAACCATTGACGTCGGCCTCGTGACCTCTTGACCTCTGCGGACATGGATGCCCATCGCATGAAACTGCAAGATCGGCACGGCGACGGGCCGTCCTGCACAGCGCTTGCCACTGTGGAACACGACAGGCTCTGACATGTGACAGCAAGAACAACGACTCCAGCGCTGCAGTGTCTGCGACGACGAGGAACATGACGAGTGTGTTGAGAGTCGGCTGGTAAGTGCTGCGCGTCGCTGGAAGGATAATGCCGGTGCACCAATATTGGACCAGCATCTGGCGGCAGAAGCGCATCGGGTCTTACGGCTGATGTGAGTTGTGATAGGTTGGCGCGACGTCGCTTCCCCGTACCATGGCAAGATGGCGCCTAACCGTGAGTCAACTGCAAATGCGGCCGCACGAACGGTCGCCTGGTCTGGGAATGGGTCGCTCTTGAAGGTTCGCGAAGACGAGATTATGCAGGGCCCGAAAGCGTATTTCTCTCGGGCCTAGAGGCAATCGAGAATGGAGGTGTTGGCTGCGGACTATGGCTAATGTGCCCTGGGGCAAGATGCTTGGCTGTCATTTCCCTGTGTGACACGCCGCGTCCGCGATGGGGTCGCGGGCGTGATTGGATAGATGAATGATGAATAGTCCTGCCCTTGGAGATGTGCAGCGTGGAGTGTAGGTATTGTATATGGGCCTGGCCATGCTTGCTGCTAGGGCGATTGGAGCTAGGGGCGAGGTGTGGTTATTGGGGGTCCCCCATAAAGAGGGCCCCTGTCACGCCCAAGTGTGCCGTCTTGCACAGCCCCGATACTGCTCTCCAGACGACTGTCGCCGTGAGCGCATTGTATTCATCGAGCAGCAGCAGAGCCGCATCGCAAACACAGGCGCAGTCGCGTCAAGACAGAGTGAGAAAACCGTGCCGCTGCAGTGAACTGGCAGTTGTTGTGGAGCTTTGGCGCTGATGACGGTGAAAGACGGCGTCTCATTTCCGTCCGCGTTAGCGAACCAGCCTCATCCCAAGCAGCGCATCCAGGCTTCGCTCCCCGTCGCCCTCGCTCCTTCCCTCGGACTCCCTCGACGATAGCGACTGCCCCAGCTGCGAGAACCGGCGACCGCTCCTTCCATCTCGCGCATCAATCTGAGCAATCGCGACCGGGTCACGCCATTGCCAGCCAGTCTGCCAGCCACCGCTCCCACCCACGAGCGAGTTCCACCACGCGACGACCCAGGGCGCCCTCAGTCCCGCCTCGAGCCTATCACTACGCCCTCGACACCTGCGCGCTGCCTGTCTGACATACTCGACGCGCAGCCATGAGCACCGAGCCCACGCAGCTCTCTGCTGATGCAACCCGCATGTCTAGCGAGAAGGCAGTAGGGCCGTCGGAGCACGCCAACGGCACCGGTATGTTTGTCGCTTACCACCACATTAACGTCCTCGAATACTTGATTACTAACACGCTGCAGCTGCCATGCAAAGCGCCATTGCCACCAACTCCTTCGCTCCAGGCCAATCCTCGTCGCAAGGCCCCTCGACTGCAGCTGCTGAAGGTGACTCGACCCAGAAGCGTTCCCTCTTGAACGTCCCGCGATCCGGTTCGCAGTCCAACGAGACTCCCAACACCGGCCTCAGCGGCGCAACCGCAGCAGACGCTGAGAGCATTGGGCGAGGCTCCAAGCATTCCAAACGAAGCTTCATGGGCAAACGACGCGCAGGCAGCACGGCGAGCAGCAAGCGCTCCCACCCGCGCGCTGCCCCCTCCGAGAAGAACGAGCAAGTGCCCCCAATGCCTGCCACGGCCAACCGTCCGGCATCAACACGGAGCAAGACGAAGAAATCTGGTGGCCTGTTGTCTTGTCTGCCCTGCTTTGCACCCAAGGAGTCCCGCACAACCGACGATGCTACACCTTTGGAGAATGTCAAGCAGGCCCAGAAGGTGCCCGCTGGACGCACTTCCCAGTCAACACCCATCAAGAAACAGGAACCCACTGTCGCGGAATCGAGCAACACTGACTCGAAAGACCCACTTGATGAGAAGACGGGAAATGACACATTAGGTTCAGGTCTCGCCGACAAGCCCAACCATGGTGATGGCACAACCGAGCAGGCGTCAGTCGGAGACCAACCCCAGGTCGTGACAAGAAGCCCATCCCAGAAGCAGCCAACAGACACAGTTTCCCCGCCCCAGCCCGGCACCCTGCAGACTGGTCACCCCCAGATAAGCATCACAAACCCTACTCCCACCGCTACTCCGGTACTTCCTCGGCCGTCAGCAGAGCAAGAGCGCATAATACAGGATCAGACCGAGGAGCAGAAGCAGATCGACAACGACATTGAGATGAAAGATGTGCCGCTATCGACCAATGATGTTCACCAAGAGGGAGAGGAGACAAGCGCAGAGGCCGAGGCTGAGCACCCCAAGGTCGATCTTCCTCCACCACCCCCGCTGGCAGAGAGACAGGTCGCTGTTCAGCACCAGACCGCAGACGTTGCAGAGGCGGCAGAGCAACAGAAGTACCTTTTGGGACCCATCGCACCCAGGTTCCAAGGAAAGAAGTGTCTGGTACTCGACCTGGATGAGACTTTAGTCCACAGCAGCTTTAAGGTACGTTCCACTGCCGCTGTATTTGCTTCGATTTGCTAACGCAGCCAGATTCTGCACCAAGCCGACTTCACCATCCCTGTCGAGATTGAAGGCCAATACCACAACGTGTATGTCATCAAGCGACCAGGCGTCGACCAGTTTATGAAGAGGGTTGGCGAGCTCTACGAGGTCGTCGTGTTCACCGCGTCCGTCTCAAAGGTAAGCACACGATGGACTCACAAATACATGCTTCATACTGACGATACTAGTACGGTGACCCCCTTCTCGACCAACTTGACATCCACGGCGTTGTTCACCACCGGCTATTCCGCGAAAGTTGCTACAACCACCAGGGCAACTACGTCAAGGTATGATTGCCAATGTTGTCTCCGCTTGCTCAATGCTAACCTATCACAGGATCTTTCACAGATCGGCCGCGACCTCAAAGATACCATCATCATCGATAACTCGCCCACGTCGTACATCTTCCACCCGCAACACGCCGTCCCCATCAGTAGCTGGTTCTCTGACGCACACGACAACGAGCTCCTCGACCTGATACCTGTACTTGAGGATCTTGCCGGCCAGCAGGTCAGCGATGTCAGTCTGGTGCTTGATGTTGCTTTATAAGCATGAATTGAGACGACAGT